TTTTCTCATAAAAAAAAAACTTTAAATTCCTTCAAGAAATTCTCATTGATCACTCCCCACTAAATAATTTTTACGTATATATGATTATGCAGGTCGGACTCATTAGAGAGGAGTGATTTCAACTTTAAATTTTAATGATCCATCCTTTGTAATACATCAGATTTCATAAGCATCGAAACACCCTCATAATGACCATATAAACCACTTTGATTAATCGTTCATGAAAAATATTTTTCTGTTCAACACAAAATTGAATATTTTACACATTTGTCACAAGTATTTGGCCTGGTCTTTTCTTTTCTTTTTTATTTAATGGTCGCTTTCCTTAAAGCTGTTTATTAGTCATTGGATTTCTTTTGTTAGGACCGTCCATTGTTTTCTACCACAAAAACTCAGTGCAATTAGTGTCAAGTAATATCTGTTTGCTCTTGATTGTTTTTCTAGACAAATGTATCTTTGAAAGAAAAACAAAGATTATTTTTAATGATGCATAATTAAATGTATAACAAGTTGAGGATATCCTTCACAGTGTTAAAATTTAAAGATACCACATTGTATGAAAGTTGAACTATTATTGATTTGATTGATGTAGTTTATGTTAAACATCTTGCTTGCTATTATTTGTAGACACATTTATTTGCTATTTCTATCAGAAAAATAGCTTAATTCTAAAATTTAAAACAGAATTTTTTCTGTAATTTTATTTGAAAGCTGAATTTTATAGGTTAGTGACTTCAATTTGAACAGTTCGAGCTACTGACTCTTGGGGAACACTTTAAAAGAAACCCCCTCAAATTTCTCAAAATAGATTAAACTTCTCTTAAGGGGAATGATTTGACATTTAGAAAAAGTGGGGGTGATAGGGTCATTTGTTTAAGAAAGTAAACGTAAAAACATTATGTTAATTCCGATGATTAATAAAGTTGGAAACTTAAAATGGTCGAAATGAGAGAGACATGGAGTGGGTATTCAAAGACATTCACTGTAGCCCAATACAAAGAAATTTCTCTGAGTAAATGTCAAAGGAAACATAGGATGGCAAATGGTGCAAATATCAACAAAATAGAGGGAAATGATATTGGGAAGTATCATTAAGAATTGTCGTTAAATATGCATCAGTGAACAGCTCTTGAAACGGTCAATCAGCATGCAGTTTTACTATAAAAGTAGGCTTACTCGAACGGTTGAACATTATACATGTCAATATATTATCAATGTAACAAAGACAAATGATTTAAGGTTTCGTCAAAGGTCAACATGTCTAAAAAATTATTTTTACAATAGCTCCAAAACTATGTGTGGTACAAAGTCATAACGTTTACAGTTTACAAATATATCATTGATTAATAGATCTATAGAAAGTATCACTTGATAACAAATATTTTAAAAAACATTTTTTTTTAGAAAAATTGTATCATAAAATGTGCATATTTTTAAAAAAAATGCACCCTCTTTATTCTGTCCTTTTTGTGAAAACTATCATTGCAGAAATAATATAAATCATTTTATCATTGAAGGGCAAGTTGGACGTGAATGGTCTCTGAAAGGCTGTTATTGAAAGCATAACAGACATGTATAAAGACAAGACCCCTATAGAATCCGCCGTTTGCAATGTAACATTCACTTTCAAGTCTTAACATTTGGACAAAATAAACAAGGAAAACAACTTTCCAGAGACTATCCAAGTCCAACTTGCCCTTCATTGATAAACATATTTTGTTTCTGCAATGATGGTTTTCACTAAGAGCATAGAATTATTAAGGTATGCACTTTTAAGAAGAATTTTTCTCAATTAATAAATACTTAATTTTTTCCAAGAATTTTTTTTTATCAAGTGATACTTTCTATCTGTTAATCAATGAAAAGTTTTAACTTTATACATCAAATAGTTTTGGGGCTATTGTAAAAATAAATTTTTGAACATGTTGACCATTGACGAAACCTTAATGCAAGAACATTTACCACCGGGAAGATAGTTACTGAGTATAAATAATAAAGGGGTCCCTAAAATTGTCTACGAACACAGTGTGTCATAAAGTGTAAAATACAGTTAAATTTTGTCGCACATACATGTACATGTAATTATACTTATTTACTTACAGCCTGTCGTTCCGCGAGGAACATACATGTAGGCCATCGATGACAGTCCTCCGACGAACACATACGCACATACGCTAAGAGGAAATTAACTTTTTAATAGTTTGAAGACAATGTTGTATTTGTTATAATATCTAAGTAATAAATCAGACAAAAACGTGCACGACAGTGTTTGATAAAATGCAGTGAATATTGTCCATCATATTTAAGCACACAAAAAAACTTGCTTTAAACATCTATCTTTGGTCAAGTTATCAATCAAAAACTATGTAAAAATAACAAGATATAATGGATGGACTTGATAATTTTAAATTTCACGTATGTAATTTGTTTCCAATGATGATGGAATTGTCTTTGTGGATATTTCGATTGCACAATATACATGTATTCACTGCACAAAAATGCAATGTCCAAAATCATCTATAAGGAAGAAGACTTGGATAAAGATTATTTAAAATATTTATGAATTTATTATGCTTATCAAATAAATGTCATAATAGGGGCCCAGAGCAACGTCCTACAAGTGGCAGTGGAAAAGCGGAGAGGGGGTTCAGAGGGGAAGCACGTAAGCCAAAATAGTAAATTGAGCAAAAACAGTGACTGGAACCAAGAGGGGATGGGGATTACGTAGGAAAATACTCTGTTCTAATATTCTATGCAATGATACCGTGTATGATATCGGAAACACCGAGAGGACAGGTGTACATGATCAACAAAGATTTGGGGATCCAGTTGGAGGAGGAGGGGTGAACGGCCTTAATTTGTAAAAGTCTTTACTATAATTTGAAGCCAAAAGGATACTCCCAAAAACATGCTGGAAAAAGTGGTTTTCTCTCACCCTCCTCGTATTATGGCCTTATATCATACTTTACTATTTTTAGCCCATACAATGTACGTGGGTTGTACGTAAAGTTCGTGGACAAGCTAAAAATTTGATAAAGGTTGTGTCATTCATATTTCTTATTGGCATATTTCTAATCCTTTACTAAATGTAAATTGAAAAATGTAAAATTTTATTCAATTTCAAATCTTTAATTACAATTATGGCTTCACAATTTTACCCGTAGCACCGCAAAATTTTAATCAAAAACATTATTTATCACTTTATAAATTTCATTTGTTTTTATAAAATTCAGGGTAAATCTGGAACATTTTACATTATAAGACGTTTTCACGTCAAACTTGCAAAATTTGAAAGTTCAAAGTTTCAAAATGGCTGAGCAATCAAAGTTAGAACAGTCATATTAAGACAGGATCGAAATTGTTCAAAAAAGAGACGTTGTCGGAATAGGTGGAGCAGTGAACAGTGATAAAATTCTGCGTAGACATTGGAAAAACACCTACAGGGACCAATACATTCTGTAAGCAATCCGAAAAACATAATAAAAGAAGTCATTCACTAGTATTTAAGTGGACGGAAGGAACAGTTTCCAGGATGACATGCGTGAAGGAAAACCATCATTCCAAGATTGAAGTGCTGAAAAAATGAATTTCGTAACGTGATCATGACTTTGCCGTATTTCCGTAAATAACATTGTCTTTTCACGGACAGTGGTTGGATTATTGCAGGATATGAGACAGGCGTTGTTAAATTATATTATTTTACGAATGAAACCTGAACATTATGTGCACATATTTATGACTGGTTAAACCGACATAAAAAATGTATTCAGTTAAATGGTGACTACATCATGTATATATGTTGAGAAAATTTATACATGTGCTCGGATTTAGCTTTTGACGTCGGGTAATGTCAAGAATTTTCGTTTTAGTGCTCCGGGTATGAGTATATTGTGTGTGTGGGGTTTTTTTTGTATCTGATAAAAATGTAACTATTTGTGCTTTGTTTTCGTTGAAAACTTGCATATGTATAAAATGAAACACGAATTTAATGAAAATAATAGTTTCACATATTTTGTCAATGTTTGTCAGTAATTATCAACGTTGTCCACGAACTTTACGCGCGGACAACCCTCGTACTTTCAACGTTTTAAAGAATATCCATGTCTTGCCATTGTTTTTCAATGTGTAAATTTTCCTCCCCTCCTCCACGCCAAATTCCCCCACCCTTCAAATTCTTTTCTTTTTGCAATATTGTTCGACCGTCCGACGTTATCGTTCAAAAAGTCGTCAGTAGGAAAGAGTTCTGATAAAAACCCCCACTATGGCATTTTAACAACAAAAAAAAATTATATAACGAAAAAAATAAACAATCCTCGGATACAATACAAATGTCAAATTATATCGATTACAAATAGGAAATTTTACAATTATTCAAATAATAAATTTTACAATACAAATAAGAAATATACAATGCATATGGAAAATATAGAATGCAAACGAAAAATTATACAGTTCAAAAGTTTCTTTTACAACACAGATGAATTGATATATAGATAACGAATTTTTAAAAAATATATATAATTCAAATGGAATATTATAGAATTCAAATAAATATTGATATACAATACAAATGAGAAACCAAAACAAATGGAAAATTGTAGAATAACTGTTACAAATAAATTTTGTACAATACAAATGGAAACTTTTACAAATAGAAAACTATAAATGCAGATAAAAAATATCCATTACAAATGGAAAAGATCGAATATTGCTACGTTTAAAATTCCATACCACACCCATCGTAAAAAAAAAAATATTTTTCCAGTTTCACATTTTTTGTCCCTTCCGATTCTTGCACATTCGCTTGTTAATGACTTTCTTTTCTCTATTTCTTTCTATGTCCCTCTTTTTCTTAATCCTTATGACACCCTCCCTTTAAGTTTTCTAGTCAGTTCAGAACTGTCAGCAATTTTTAAGAAATGCGTACTAGGTTCAGTACTTTCTGGCCTTTGATTGAATTTTAGTCGGGTTCGTTCTTCACTTTATACCGACCTTTTATACCGGGCTCGAGCAAAAATATTTTTCGAAGATCAAAGATGGACAAAGGTGTACTTAGAAAAAGTCTCAGGCTCTTTGAGGATAACAATGCACGTTTTGCTGTAATCAAACTTACTTCTTGCAATGGGACAGAAAGTGTCGCCTTTTCTGATGCTAGTTGCGGATTCGAAGTATTGACAGACGAGAACAAAACACCATGTTTTGTCCCGTTTACAGAAATATTCGAGAAGGGCATTTCTTTCCTCCGAGAAATAGAAAATAACAGTTGTGAAAAAATTGAGAGACTACAAGGCCCTACAAACGATGCTCTTTTGTGTCTTGATAGGTTTTATAAATCAAAAGGTAGGTGATTTCCAGATCTATTTTTAGATAACCTTTCAGTAAAATAAAAAAAAACTTTCAGATGATAAATCATGAAGTCATTTACTTACATTAAAAAGTAATAATCATAGCTTATTGTTTTGCAATATGAATTTTGTAATAAACTAAAAGGTCACTATTTTTGCTTCAGAATCGAACACTTGGAGTATTACGCCCATGTCTTTTTACATGTAAGGTTTAGTGATTTTTTTTTAACAAAGTTTATATTCTTTAGAACAAAATGAAGCCTCTTTGAGAAAGGTCTTTGACATGGGATGGGAGGATAAACCCCGAGTCACTGAGACAGATATAACCGTCTGCCTGGCAGAGCATCTCATAGGAAGGCTGGCCCCTAGGGAGTCCTGTGTACTCAATAGCATGCTCAAAGGAAACAACTGCAGGTGTGGGTGTCAAAAGGAACCTACATTTTCTCCAACAGGAATAGGTAAAGTGAAAGCAAGAGTAGATTTATGTGAATCAGTCCAGAACAGCACAGAACATTGATTATGTGAAAAGTCATGTGATTCATTTTTAAATTTCTCAATTGCAATAATTTGCTCAGAATGGACTTCAGTTATTGATATTTTTTTGTATTTCAGGACATGAGTTAGTGTGGCATGGCTTTGTTGACATTATCTTCTCATCACATCAGGGAATGTCAGCAATCGCTCATACTGTGATGAAGAGTAAAGAAATCAGTCCAAAGAAAAGAAAACGAGATGAAGTGGATGGTAAGGCTTTTCAGCATTAGGATTGAAAAGGTTCACCGCAGTATAGATTCACTGCAGTATTTTTTCTGATTTTGATACTCGGTGCAAAATATCCACTTTTTTTCGATTCATTTTTCATTCGGTTTCATAATTCAGACACATTTAGCATAGGTAAAAGATAATGTTACTCACTATGATTATTAAAAATTAAATTATGAATTTATTTTTTTTTTTTTTTGGTTTTCATAGCATAATTTCTCTAGGATGCTTTTTGACTGAAATTTTTATATTGATAAATATTTCATCTGTATACTATCTGCTCTGTTATGAAAACATAAATACATTTCTAAGCCTGTGATTTTTTGACAGTTATCGTTTTGTCCAATACTGTAAAAAAAAAATATTTATTTACCTACCTTCCCACCTTGAAAAATGTGGGTCGGAGTACATCCTACAAAAATATTTTTAATGATGGCTTAAAATATGTGATTATTTTTTTTTTTTGGTATATAGAAGTAGGGAAAAACCAGCTGAAAAGCAGCAATAGGGATGGGTATCACCAAAACTTTCGTATCGCGATGTATCACGATTTTTTCCTCAAAATATCACAATAATATCATGATATTTTTACAATCAATTTTTACAATGATTTTAAATGAATAGTCATTATTAGTCCCCTACCGGTGAAACCGGGGGGACTGTAGGTTTCCTCTGCGTCCGTCCGTCCGTCCGTCGGTCTGTCCCCGTCAGTCTGTCCCACTTGGTTTTCCGCACTTTTTTTCTAAAGGCTTGCAGATATTGAGCTGAATTTTGGTATGTGAGTGTATCTCAGACCTGTTTACTCTTACGATTTCGCCGTATTTTTTACGGATTTTTATTCTGAAATACGTCTCACGTTTTGCCATTATGAAAATACGGAAATCGGAAAAAGCGTTTGTTTGGAATTTAACAGTTAGATTTCGTTATCACCTCTCTTAGTTTCATGCTTTTTATTGCTGAAAAAGAGAGAGATTTCAAACACAAAAGCGATGTCAGGTTGCCAAGACGCTGTGGTATTATAAAATGACAAAGACCATATTGTTAAACCATGTTTTTGAAATCAGAAAAGCAGTTATTCACTATTAATATATGTAAAATTGATGGAAAATAAAATCTTACTGGTAAATGCCAAATCTCACGGACAAATCTAATAAAAGATACTGAGAGACAACGATATGGGTAAACAGGTCTGGTATCTTAATGAGTTACAGATCAAGTTTGAATTTCGCTTCGCTTCATTGATTTTTGACAGAAATATGGCATTTTGAATATTTTTCATAATCGCTTAATTAAGATCGGGTTCGAACTGCGCTAACTTCCGATTGTCGACAAAAATATGAAGCGAGGAAAAGACGATTGAGAAATGAGTTGAATTTTCGTCTTAATGTGGATTATTTTATTAGTTTTAAGGCATTTACAACTTGAAAATCTTTCAGTTTTACCTTGGACATGACTTTTGCACATAATAAAATGACATCCTGAAGAAAAAGGGGAACCCGGTAGGGGACATGTATTGCTAAATGCAATACTCTCAGAATGCTTGTTTTTCTTTAAAATATGCTAGAAAAACAAAATTTCACTATTTTTAAATTTTTATATATACACTGATATATGAAATTAATCCTGTTTCGATGGTAAGATGCCGTTGTTTTCATGTTTTACAGCATTGTTTTAGACTATCTGTAATTGAAAATTGAAATATTGAACAAATGATGAATAATTTCTGGACTGTATAATATGTACCTAAATACCAATATTTTGGTCTCCGTATCACAACACGTATCATGCAACAAAAAATCACGATATATCGATAAAATCGCACATCCCTAAGCAGCATACTTGCCAACCTCCAGCATGTAAAAATCTGGTCATGACCAGATTTGGAAAGTAAAAAATCTGGTCATAATGCGTAACGACATTCACGACATATTGACCATGATTAAATTTTATACATAATTATATATATACAAAGTTTTTGTGTATTGAGAATTCTATTATTGAAAAAGGCTTTAATTTACAATGACAAAGAATTCATACATAATTTGATTAAATTTACATGTTAAAAAAGACAACTGAAGGTTTCATATTTCAGTATTGACCTGAAGTAAGTGTGCATTTTTTTAAAAAGCCTTTTCAGTTTCTGCTAAATTTGAAAGTATATTAATTTTAGTTTTGAAGTTATTTTTCCTCTCTCTTAATTAATTAACTACTGCAATGTGTATACAGCAAAACTCGTTTAGTACGAACACGGATATAGCGAATTCACGGTTATAGCGAAGTTATTTTGGATCCCCAGCTATATAAATTTAACGTATTCCTTATATGGATATAGCGAATTACGGATATAGCGAAGTAAATTCATAGGTCCCCATGACTTCGTTATAACCGAGTTTTACTGTATATTAAATGTGAAGTTAGGCCTACACTGTCTTCGATCATTTTATTTTATCTAGAATGAAAGTTTTTTCCAAAGATGTACATAAATATTGTTTCTCTTTTTCTTGGTTCAATCAGAGACAGGTGTTTGGTTCAATTTGTTCCTGCTGGCCCTGATAACGATCTAGTTCTATCGGAAGCCATTTTTATTGACTTCAAACATTGATTTGTCAAAACAACACCCAGTTAATTGTTTACACCTGCACTGATAATTAATCCATCGGCATTGTTTACGTAGATCTAAGCTTGGGTTGTAACTGGAAGTGAAAAGTGCAACCTAATTTACGAACCAAATCCGGAAATCGGGAGATATTCGGGTTGGTCGGCAAAAATCGGGTGAAAAGCATGACCCGCCGGGTCATAAAGCATGACCCGCCGGGTCATAAAAAATAATCGGGTTATGGGTTGAAAAATCGGGATTGATCAGACGAAATCGGTGAGTTGGCAATTATGCTAAGCAGCAAGGTAAAGGGAACTCAGGTGACATTCTGTTCTGTTTGAATATAAAGTCTGCTTAGTCATAAATTTTTTAGTTCACCTCACCATGAAGGTGAGATTATATTAACCAACCTGGTTTAATACTTATTTTGCAAGATTGATGCAAATTTCCAATCTTACTTTGAGTGGTTGTTGACTGGATGAATGATTCTTGAATGACCAGTTTCATGTTTTTAAAGCAAGTGCATTCCTCAGTAGATAGGAACCATATGAGATTTATAAACTTGTACTGTCGATGCCTCCAAGTATAAACATAATATATGCCTACCAAATGCTTCACATCACAGAAACCTCAAACCTTAACTTCTAGGATGAATTTCCAGTTTAAAGATTTGGGGAGAAGTTCATTTCCCCAATTAATATGCCACATTTTGTCCAAATTTGCACACACAATGCATCTAAGCATGCATTTACCTTACTTGCTTCAGTACGTGCAGAAACTGGCCTACATTTTCTGAATGACTGATGTTATCAAAAAATTCGTGGACTGAGACTATAAAATAAGTACTATGTAGTCTGTGCTTTCAAAATTTATAGGGAACATAAAACAACAAGAAATGAAGAAATGTTGAAAATTTTAGCTTGATACGTTCATTAATTGCCAAATTATTATAAGATAAAAACGACATTATATGGTCACCTGGCAAGGTCACCGTTTAGTTTCGTGACGTCCGTCCGTCAACGTCTTTGTTTTTCTATCTCCGCTTCTTCTACCTCATACACATATTTTGATATTAAGATTCTCTGGACCTGAGTAAGGACTTAAACCTGTCTTGTTTATATGAATTTAAACAGCGGCTTTCAATGCATATAATATTGCAAATGGATTTATACATTTGGAGAGATCCTCGCTTGATTTTGGCAACATAATTTGCTTTTTGGAGTTTAATTAATACATACAAAACATGATCAATGGGATTCCTTTTTTGACATGATTTATTTTTCACACCTTGAGTATAAATTGACATTAACTGTGTATCAATTTTCTCTCTGAATCTCTTTTGGCATCTAACAATAAGTACTGTATACAGGGAAATTTTCACCCCCGTTTTATTTTCGCCCCTTTCGCCCTACCCTCATTTGGGCGAATTTAAAATGGGGCAAATTCAAAAATACAGTATAATTTCTTAAACAAAACTAGGACGGGGCGAATTTAAAACGGGGCAAAATTGTTTGCAAGAGTGAAAGGGCGAAAATAAGACGGGGCAAAAATAACCCTGTATATAGTACTCTGGATTCATTTTATTTTTCCTTAGCCAGTTGAAACTTTTTCTAGGTCTATTATAGTTTTTTCAGGGGCAATACTTTATAGAATAATGGAAAAGGAACCACTTCCCATATTTGACGTCATTTTCAATGTCTTACTTGTTTTGACTACATGTAAAATTCACGATAAATTTTCATAGAACTTCCAAAATGAGCTGAAAATTCCATATTCAAAGGAACAATTCTTTCACAAGACATACCTGAATTAACGGGATTTATGGATGTCAAATATTCATATCAAAAGAGTTTCTCAGTTACATTTGGGTCGGAAAAACGACGTGTTCGAGGTTGCACCCTGGACATACCATTGCTTACAGAAACATTACTCATTTACAAAAAAAATAATAAATTTTATGATTTGTGGTTTATTCTATAGATAGACTAGATGATGCTAACTAGATATTTTGAAATCCATTTATGTATCAAAAGCGGTTTTAATTTTATAGCGCTAGTCCACGAATCTTTTGATAACCCCTCGTATATGCGTATAATTTGTATAAATATGTTTTCAACTTTTCAGTAGTCACTGTTATGAATGATCTATATTCCTGGTTGAATTACCAGGTTTAATGTTTTGTTTTTTTTCAGCAGGTTTAATCTCAATTTTGAACAAAATTGGGTAGATGCTGATGCATGTAGGGATGCACACCATCATAATTTTTTGTTCATATAAAACTTTGCCTGACTAATAGATAACTTTTGCCAAAATAAGCTTATTTTTCTTGAATGCAATATTTTTTTTTCATTTTTTTTGTTGTTAATACGTTATGTGTTCATATCATTTTAACCAATAAAATTTGGTGGTATACTTATGGAGGAATGCCACACCAACTTTTTATTTTATTGATCTCTGAGTCAACCTTTTTAAACAATGGTTTCAGCAATTTTTTTTTAAATTTTGGCCAATCCAGATCAAAATTAAACCGAAAATCACAATTGCTGTTGTTTATAGACCACCGGACGCAAAAGCTGACTGGGTTTCTACTTTCGAAAACGTAGTTGACGAAATAATGACAGACAGTAATGAGGTTGTAATTCTTGGTGATTTTAACATTGATGAACTTAAAAACACCAACTTCAAATCTCAGATGGAAATAAACGGATTACACCAAGTTATTAACACACCAACGCGAGTTACAACACACTCCGAAACCCTCATCGATCACATCTATGTTAGCGACAAATTCCTCTACTTAAATTCTGGAATTATTCCTATCGGCATTAGTGACCATCATTTAGTGTATACAATTAGAAACAAAACAATTCAAGAAAATAAACAACATATTTACATCAAATATAGAGATATGAAACATGCAGACGAATATGCATTCCTATCCGACCTTGCTTCGACGAACTGGAACATAATTAGAAACCTGGAAAATGTAAATGATATGTGGGCCTTATTTAAAGACATTTTCTTTAAAGTCATTGACAAACACTTTCCAATGAGGGATAGGCGCATCAGGGCGGATTCTGAGAAGTGGATAAATGACAACATATTGTCAGAAATGCGACAACGTGACTTTCTACATCAGAGAGCACTCAAATCTAAATCCGATGCCGATTGGAATGCGTACAAAGCGGCACGAAACCGAGTAGGGATCCAGATCAACGAATCAAAACGCGAACTTGTAAATGAGGTAATCGAGCAGGCACACGCTAAGTCCAAGAATATGTGGGATCGTATAAAAGAGTTTCTTCCCTCGAAACGAACTCAATCCAGAACAACCCATTTAGAAGTCGATGGTGAAACAATTACATGTCCTCAGGAAATCGCAAATAAATTCAATGACTTCTTTTCTAATATTGGACATAAATTTGCTTCTAATTTTGACAACTCCTTACCCACGGTTCCTCAACAAATGCCAGAAGGTTCATTTTCCGTACCTTTTGTTAGTGAAAGCTTTGTTATCAATGAAGTACTTTCTATGTCAAACTCAAAAGCCACAGGTTTAGATGAAATTTCTGTTAAAATCCTTAAACAAAGTATTTATGTCTTAGGAGATATTTTAACGCATATCTTGAATTGTTCAATCAAGTCGGGTGTTTCTGTTGATGAGTGGAAAAGTGCTAGGGTTACACCATTGTATAAAGCTGGTGAGAATTTTTTGCTCAATAATTATCGCCCAGTTTCGATATTACCTATCATAAGCAAAGTCTTAGAAAGGCATGTTCACAATTCTTTTTATGAATACCTCATGCATAACAATCTTATCAATGAAAAACAATCTGGTTTCAGACCTAAGCATTCATGCGAAACAGCACTTCATAGTATAATCGAAAAATGGTTACAAAACATTGATAGTTGTAAACTCACTGGTGTTTTATTTGTTGATCTTAGCAAAGCATTTGATACGGTGAATCATAAAGTTCTTCTCCACAAATTACTTTCTTTTGGAATATGCAAAGACTCGTTTAATTGGTTCAAATTGTACTTGTCAAATAGAAAACAGTGTGTTAGATGGAATGGTACTCAGTCAGAAAAATTAGACATAACTATAGGTGTTCCTCAAGGATCAATACTTGGGCCATTGTTTTTCATCCTTTATGTCAATGACTACCCAGGCTGCTTGAAACACTCAGCAGCTCACATGTATGCTGATGATACAACTCAGGATGTTTCAGATAAGAGTATCAATGTTATTGAAAATAAATTACATAACGATCTTATCAATACGCTAGAATGGATGGAGAAAAACAAGTTAACAATCAATCTTTAAAAAACACAGTGCATGTTAATTGGTACGGAACAAAGATGAAGAAACTGTAGGAATTTATGTATTAAAGTGGGTAGTATTGTGATTGAAAATGTATCTTGTGTGAAACTACTTGGTGTTTACATCGATAGATGAACACGTTGAAAATTTAACGAAAAAACTAGCTTCCAAAATAGGTGTTTTGTCTAGATTAAGATCATTCATGTCCTCTGAGTTATTGTTAAAAATTTTTAATACAATTGTTTTTCCCCATTTTAATTATTGTTGTACTGTTTGGGGCAATATGAAAAACAAAGAAGGTCTTATCAAACTATGTAAACTCCAAAAGCGAGCTGCTAGAGTGATTTTAAATACTACATTTTATACACCTACATCGGAAATGTTTCAACAACTGAGATGGATGCCAATTGATGATTATTTTACGTATAGAACTGTCATCCTTGTTTTTAAAGTCTTAAATGGATTAACTCCAGATTATTTAGATGTTTTTAAATTTGTACATGAAATAAACAACAGATCTACAAGATTGAGTCAAAGCAATTCATTGTATATTCCGAGGGCAAAAACAGAATATTATAGAAGATCTTTTACAATTTACTGTTCCCAGCTATGGAATAAATTGCCAGAATTTTTAAAGAATTGTCCAACATTGCAAAGTTTTAAATCAGCATATATAAGAAATTATTTCCAGTCTACAAACTAAAATGTTAATCACATAGATCATACTTCTGATGTTTATAGACGCAGCTTTGACAAACCATCTGTAAATATTGATTTTTATATTCTTTTCGCTCTATATTTATATGTTTCTGTACATAATCTTCTGTCTGTATAAATGTTTTCAGGACCACAATGTGAACTAGTTGTAAACTAATTGTGCCATCCTGTATAAATAAAGGATATTATTATTATTATTATTATTACCCCAATTATAATTGTACAATTATTGGAAATAAATAACTTTCCCCAAGAACACTAGTCTGATTGGGCATAATAAGGGTTAAAACATTAATGAACTTGACAATAAAATAGATTTCTTCATTGTAAATACATGAAAAGACAATAAATTAGTATTTTATTCATTTTGTGTTAATTTTGATCGGGATCAATTTAATTTTGATCGGGTTAGGTCCAAATATTAAAAAAATTAATTTCTCTAAAATTTCTCAATTTTGTTTCAATTTCTTTTTAAAATATGATTGACAAACATGTTCTCCTCATTTGTGACTTGTTTTATGGTGTTTTTAACCATAGGTTTAAAAAAATATTCACAAATAATATTCACAAAAATATCTTTTATTTTCATAAATAATTTTTTATAAAAAAAAATAAAAAAGTCTAACAAGCCCTTTCTTTACATATTTTTAATTATAAGGTATTCATATGATGCATTCATTTACAGCAAACTTTAAGCTCGAAAACAGCTTATTTGGATGTAAATAATTTTTTCATTGTCTTTGAAAAATACAAACAAATTAATATACCGGGTAATATAATTAAGAGTGTATATTGGCCTTTCAATGCTGAAACCATTGTTTAAAAAGGATGACTCAAAGTTCTATAAAATAAAAAGTTGGTGTGACATTCCACCTTAATATCATTTTCAAGAAGAGAAGGAAAAAAAAATAGTTAATTGAAAATTTGAACAAAATGAATTTTCTTTCAGTGAAATAAAACCATTTTTACATATTTATCCTTTTCTGTTTTTCAGATAGGCTTGATGATGATTCTCAGAGACAGATAACAGAAGATCTCAAACAAAAATCACCAAATTACAAACTAGAAGAAGCCTTCGCTCAGACAATAGTGTTTTCCTTGACTGAAAATCAAAAACATCCAAACTGTTTAAATCATATGGTACCAAATATTGTGATATCTCCAGAAAAGTTTGAAATAGTGCTGTATGATGCAGAAAGGGATATTTTGCTATGTAGCAATTCTATTTTCTTATTCAATTTGGATCTTCCAGAACACAGAAGTCTCACTAATGAAGCCATAATTATTTTATGGATGGTGTTACATTATGAAATATTCTGTTCTGGATTTGAAAAGGCCAGTAATGATGTGCTTGTAAAATGTAAATCAAATTTCAAAAGTCTAGTTGAAAGCAAATGGGATATATACTCTAATTCACTAAAAATCTGTGTGCCAGAATTTCCTCCTGTAAAACGTTGGTCAATTAATGAGTTACTTCATCGAGGACATCAATTAAATCTGCATTAACATAATTAAGAACTTTATACTGTTACATGTAAAATTTTAAAAAAAATGATGTATAGTTTGCTTTTTGTGAATAGACTTTTTTTTATCATAATTGGGTGACTTGGACCCATGAATGTTTATGTGCATTTTGGAACCAAAAACAAGCTTGGGTTTATAATCTTCATACTACATGTAGTAGATTTCATTTTACTTCCATAAAAAAACAAAAATCTGATTCCTTAGCTTGAACTGTTGAACAAGCAGCCTTAAGTGCCCCCAAAATTCAAGTGAGGGTATCAGACCTCACGCTCTTACATGTACAAGGGAGAAATTGGGAACAAAGATCACACAAATGGCTACATGAACTCGAATGCAGTATGATCATAGGCTTAGGAGAGCAGGGTGACTTTCTGTTTTTATGTTGCAATGCTTACCAATTAGTCATTTTTGTATATAAATCTTTAAAGATAAAGACTTCAAACAATGTATGTAAATATTGTTTTACAAACTTCCTCTTCTTTGACTATTTGATGATGGTGGTGTTGCCTGCATGATGAAGTGGTTAGAGCACCTGCTAGAGAGTTGCAAATTCAGGAACTAGTCTATGTTGTCGGTTTGAATCCACTGTAGGACATGGAGACCGTTCCTTCAAATGACACTTTAAACCAAGACCTTGGTATCAACCAAGACCTAATGTCACAGTAGATGTTAATTGTCATGAAAAAATATTCCTCACTGCTCAATTGCCCTGAGCCCTGAGAATAGGTATGAGGGTTGTCCCAAAAACGTGAACATTTTTAATATTTGTTGTTTCACTAATACATATTATAAGTTAAAAATTGGTTTGCATCGAAATCAGCATTTGTTACATAATTTATAGTAACTGCAATACAATATTTCCATAAATAAGATTTTTATCTTATACACTGCTCCACACAACGCTGAGTGATACTCTGGTGCGCTGCATTATGGCCCGACGTTGCCGTTTTTGACAATATCTAACTATTAGTTTTTGTGCACTTAACGTCATATTTTTTTTATACGATATGGTCGCTCACGTGGCACAGTGGTTAGAGCGTCTGCTTTAGAGTTGCGAAGTAAGGAGTCAATCCTTACGTCACAGGTTGGAATCCCACTGTGGGACGTGGAGACCGGTCCTTCGGATGAGACTGTATAAACCGAGGCCCTGTGTCGCCGTGGGTGCTGTCACGAAAAAGATCCCTCACTGCTCAAAGCCCTGAGTGCCGAGCATAGGACAAAATTTGTAGCCCTCCACCGGCAAGTGATGGCGTCTCCATATGAGTGAAAAATTCTCGAGAGAGACGTTAAACAACATACAATCAATCAATCATACGGTATGTAATGTCGGAGTACTAATTTTTTTCCACACAAGAAATCTTGATACAGTTTTAACACCATTTTAATGTTGTTCCTAAATGCATATTACGACACCTTACATTTTATAGCCAAAATATCAAAAAATATCATTTCCCAACATTATGAGAAAAATAATACTTTTGGACTGGTACGGTAGTTTATGAAATTTTTAAAAAGTTCGCGTTTTTCTGGGACAACCCTCATAGTACATGTAAGAAGCAATTAACTTTTTAAATAGAAATATCCTTGGAGTTCCTCTAAAACACAACACCTCCAGTCAACAGTTTTTTGTCTGATTTTAATAACACTCATGATTGCACTGATAAATATTGATTTAACACAACTCTGTACATGTATTTCGTACTTTCATGAAAGGTATCTGAAACTAGAATTTTTTTTACAATTCTTTTAAATGGCTATCCATCCTAATTTTGATCTGCTTGCATTAATTCAATTTAATCTTGCAGCAAAAAGAAACTTTAAGGACAACTTGACAAATTTCATCAAAATTTGCCACACGTTATCCTTTTATTTTTGACAGCGACTGAATTTATTTCAAATGAAAGGTCGAACTTTCTTCTAGGATTTTGTAATTCTGTTGTAGTTCTGTTGATGTCAAATAAATTTGCTTCAAAATTAATTTGGTTGGTGATTAATCATCAATAATTTAATTTTGTTTGTATTCTTGCCTCTCATTGGTTGATTTCCAAAAAGGAACGCATAACATTTTGTATAATCTGGTTTGGTATGGGGACACACCCCCTTGACGACCAGCTGAATCATCTGTATCCATCAATCCCCTCATTTCCAGTCCTTGGGATTCATGGAAAATTCCAGATTTAATGAATGTACCTTTAACTTCAAACATTAGCTCGATCTTACCTCGCGTGAACAAGCATCATGGCTGCTAGATCTATGTATCAGTTTTTACCTCCCCTCGCTTCCCATCACTTCCGTTACTACGGTTGTATTATTGCGCGGTAAATTTGAACTCATAAAAACAACACAATTTTACACCCCAGTTCTTTAATTATTTTAGAATTAAATTATAAGGAATGACTCAAATTCTTGGCCAAATTATCGAGTATAATATGGTTTGGGTCAGTTTACGCTTTTTTATAATCCGCGAATTTGGCCAAGAATTTGAGTCATTCCTTAAATGTACATGAAAAAAATTCAATAACAAAGAGTATTGAACGTTTTGATAGATTTCAAAACTCTTATTTTGTCAGAAAGATAAACAGGAGGCCCATGGGCCACATCGCTCACCTGAGCATTGTGGCAAGGAAAAAATTGGAAAGTTTAAATCCAAAAGTAGTCCCATGACCAATCATGGATTTGCTATTCTTGAGAAGATTTTTAATGAATTTTCCTACAGATTTCTAATTAAAAGTTGGGTCGGCCAATTTGACCCCGGGGGTCATGATTTGGACAAACTTGAATCTACATTACTTGAGGATGCTTCTATATGAAAATGATTAATTATTGCTCTGCGATTCTTGAGAAGAAGATTTTTAAAGAATTTTCCTAAACCTATATATTTCTATGTAAAAGTTTGGTCGGCCATTTTGCCCCCACCATACCCCTGGGGGTCATGATTTGAACAAACTTAAATCTACACTACCTGAGGATGCTTTCATATAATGATGATGAATTATGGCTTTGTTATTCTTGAGAAGAAGATTTTTAAAGAATTTTCCCATATATTTCTATGTAAAACTTTGGTCGGCCATTGTGGCCCCGCCCTACCCCCGGGCGTTATGATTTGAACAAACTTGAATCTACACTACCTGAGGATGCTTCCATATAAATATGATGAATTATGGCTTTGTCATTCTTAAGAAGATTTTTAAAGAATTTTCCTATATATTTCTATGTAAAACTTTGGTCGGCCATTTTGGCCCCACCCTACCCCTGGGGGTCATGATTTGAATTTCCCCATAAATTTCATCTTTCCTGGCACAGTGGTTCTTGAAAAGAAGATTTTTAAAAGATACCACCAATTTTTCATTAATTCCCAATTATATCCCCTTGAATGAGGGCGTGGCCCTTCCTTTGAACAAACTTGAATCCCCTTTACCCAAGGATGCTTTGTGGCAAGTTTGGTTGAAATTGGCCCAGCGGTTCTTGAGAAGAAGTCGAGAATGTGAAAAGTTTACAGACAGACATACACCGGACAAAATGTGATCAGGAAAGCTCACTTGAGCCTTCGGCTCAGGTGAGCTAATAAATTTAGATGATTAATGTATCTAAGACAAGAAGAGTCTTGCTAATCAATATCTTGTCAAAGATCAGAGGTATTTGTATTGTACAGATAAATTATCAAACACAGTTTTTAATATTCCACAGAACACAACGTATAAAGATGCATTTTAAAAATTCTACATAAAATGATGTAAGTAAAGAGATAAATTCCTGAACGAAATTTTCCTTCCATCCTTCAAGTAGCAGACATCAAATATTTAGCTCAGCTGAGCTGAAAGCTTAAGTGAGCTTTCTGATTACATTTTCGACTTCTATAAAACCACTGGGGCAATTTTAACCAAACTTGGCACAAAGAATTCTTGGGTAAAGGGAATTCAAATTTGTTCAGATGAAGGGCCAGGTCCTCATTCAAGGGGAGATAATTCAGAAATAGTGAAATTTGGTGGTGTATTTTAAAAACATTCTTCTCAAGAACCACTGTGCCGGGAAAGATGAAACTTAAAGGGGAGCATCCTTAGGTAGTGTGAATTTACTTTTGTTCAAATCATGACCCCCGGGGATAGGGTGGGGCCGAAAAGTTTTACATAGAAATATATAGGGAAATTCTTTTTTAAGAAATCTGTTCAAGAATACAAAGGCATGAATGATCATATTTATATGGAAGCATCCTCGGGTACTTAGATTCAAATTTGTTGAAATAATGACCTCCGGGGTAGGTCGGGGCTTCAATGGTTGATCAAAGATTTATATTGAAATACATAGAGAAATTCCTTAAAAATTTCCTTCTCAAGAATAGCAAAGGCACAAATGATCATATTTATATGGAAGCATCATCAGGGAGTGTAGATTCAATTTTGTTCAAATCATGACCCCAGGGGATAGGACGGGGCTTCAATGGTTGGTCAATTTTTATATAGAAATATGCAAGAAAATTCAGTAAAAATCTACGTCTCAAGAAAAGCAAAGCCATGATCAGTCATAATTATATGGAAGCATTCTCAGGTAGTGTAGATTTAAGTTTGTTCAAGGCATTACCCCTGGGGTTGGGCGGGGCCACAAAGTAAGTTCAGAGTGAAAGGGCAATAAAGCCACAGGTAGTCAAAGAAATATGCAAGCATCCTTAGTTAGTGTAGATTCAAGTTTGTTCAAATCATACCCTCTCTCCTAGAAGGATTGGTTGGGACCACTTTTGGCTTTAAACTTTGTAATAATAAACTGATTTCTGCTTCTTTTCCTAGCCACATTGCTAAGGTGAGCGATGTGGCCCATGGACCTCCTGTCAATTAGAAAATGTCATTTGCATTATTTAAGAAAGCTTTCTTTTCAGTCAATGTCTTGGGAAAAAAATCAATGTACATGTATATTGTACTATTGCTTGTCGCAAACTCTTACATAATGTATGATTAAAATATTGCAATTTGAAAAAAAAATACAAAAAGATTCTGAGGAGGATATGATTTTTTTTTGAAAATTCTTTGAATGTACATTATAATAAAAAGTTCCATATTTGGATGTTTTACACCCCATACTGGCATAGCCAATAAGTGCTACT